AGCCGGCTCGCCCGGCGCAGGGTCTCCGGTCACTGAGACCTCCACGCAGAGAGGGCCGCAGAACGGCGCAGAGCCGCGGTCCGGCTGCGCCCACCTGCTGTAGCTGGTGCTGTTGTCGCCCGTAACCCACTGGAAGCCGCGCAAGGATCCGAGGTGCCTGGGGTCACTGCAGCCGGGTGGGAGCAGCAGGCCAATCCAGAGACGAGCACCGTCGCCACTGTCGCCACTCAGCAGCAAGGAGATGACATCGGCGGCCACCGAGGAACGCACGGTCATCAGATGGCCCCCCAGGCTCTCGCAGGTCTGGCTGGCAGCGAGGAAGTTCGCAGGGCCCCGGAAAAGCGCGAAGCAGTCGTGCTCCACGCACTGGCTACCGCCGGGTTGCAGTTGTGCGGGCGTGGGGAGCCCCAGGCCAGCCGGGGCCAGCACGCCGAGGATCAAGACTCCGAGCATGCTGCCCAGGTGTGCCGCGTGCTAAGGAAGGCACCCGCGCCGCGACTGGGCTGGGCCAGCGCCTGGGCGGAGGGGCTGCAGGAGCCGCCGGTGACACCCGCTCGGGTCTGTCCCAGCCCAGACGCTTCTGGTGGAGGCGCGCAGCCCGGGCGAGGCAGCCTCCCACATGCTGATCGCCCGGCCGGCCGGAGTTTATAAGTGCGTGGCCCTCCCTCCCTGGACGTTCGGGAAAAGGAAGGAAGTGCCTGGTGGGAAGGGCTGATGCTGCATTCTCGGATTACTGGGTTCTCCGAATGCGCGCTCCCGCCTGGGATCACCTCGCGGGGATGAGTAAGCCTGGCCTGGGCGCTGGGAGGTCCCGGGCGGGCTGGCAGGCGCTATGGAAGGACAGCACCGCTTTCACAAGGCGACAGTCCCCGCCCCCGCCATTCTGCTCCGCGCTTGTAACCCCTCCTTCACCTCCTGGCCCTCATGTTCTATTCGTAAATATTACCACGGATTTCAAGGAAAGCCTGGATTGTGGGATGGGGGGTCAGGAAACCAGGAAGAAGAGGGCTTTGAACTGGAGCAGTGGGGAGAGCTTAGGACTCTGAGGGGAAGATGAGCAGCATGAAGAGGACTTGGGAGGGCTGCCTGAGTCACGGATGTCCACCAAGACGGTGGCAGGGAGAGAGAGCGGGAGCGCGCCTGGCCGGGCTCCGGGCTCCAGAGACAGTACGGGTGGGTGTGGCTGGGACGGCTCCTGGGGAAGCAGGGCGGGCAGGCCTGAAGTCAGCCCTCCCTTGCCCTTGGCCAGGTGGGCTAAGGACCCGCGCGTCCCTGGGCATTCGCTGCCAAGTCCGGCCCCCAGATAGTCCACGGGAAAGTTGGGGGGCCCTGCCGGGGCATCAAGGGGCTGTTGCACTCAGAGGTGGAGGCAGACGAATCCCTGTCCAGCATTACAGGGACAGGCATGTGGGGGATCCTTGGTCTGGTCTGTTCCCTCCAGTTTCTCAGAGGGGAGTCCATCTCGCACCTCCAAAGGGAGGTCGTGGGGAGCCCCTGCGGGGGCGCTGCAGGCTCCAAGTGGAATCCACCCGGACCCCTTAAGGAACTTTGCGTGTCGCTGAGAGGCCAGATTGGTTCCCAGGTACATATAAATGTCCCTTGTTCAGCGCTGGACCCTGACGAGGGGCCGTTCCGTGGGTGGGCCGGCTGGGAAGGGCTGGGAGGAGGAGCCGGGGAGCTGTCACTTTCGACCTTATTCACTTAAGAACGCGAAAGGGTTGGGTCCAGGACCCAACCGAAAGTGGCAAGCTTTTTCTTAAGCATCCTGTCCGCTTACGGTTCCTCCCCGCCAATTACCAGAGGGCGGCACTGTTGAACTCCAAACGAAACCCAAGAAGTTGGAGATCCCCAAACATCTGGCTAAAAAGGGTTAAGAGTGTGGGGACCGCAGAGGCCTCACCAAAGCGCAGGAAACTCTGCTCCAAGGGAGCTCCGTGTGGGTTCCATGCCTTACAGGTCTCGCTTCGCTGGTCCAGCTAGGAACAGAAGAGTGTCCTCCTCATGTGCTAAAGACTTCCCGGGGTGGGACTGATTGTACTGACAGGCAGAGGGGTGGGAGGAGGGCAAGAGAGGGAGGTAAGATGGCCCCTGCCTACACTCTCGAGTGCTGGGGACTGAGAGTTGGAGCTGATACCAGAACATCTGGCCTCTGCAGAGCACTGTCCTGTCCTAAAGAAGCCATCCCAGCTCAAAGGCAAAGATGAGGCGGTCTGAAGCTCTGGAATGTGCAACCGCACCTCCCCTGGCATGAGGAAGGGAGGACGACTCAGTGGGAAATCGGCTGTCCTTGTGGGCCCAGGGCAGGAGCAGGCTGCCCTGGCTGACTCAGCGGCTTCAGATATGGGCTAGAACCCCAGTGTGGTACTGCAGAAAGGTCTCAGAAAGTGGGAAAATTTTTCTGAGTCGATAAGAGGACATTGGGGACAGGACCAGTGACATAATCTGCAGAGCCCAAAGCAAAGTGATAAGGTGAGGGTGTCTTGTCCAAAAATTGAGACTGGCATCAAAGCATTAAATGAGGAGTGGGGCCCTAGAGCAGGGACCATCTGAGCCTGCCAACCCTAAAAGGAGCTGAGAGATACTTAACGATCAGGTCTAACACCCCACCCCCAGGGGGCGGGGGGCAGATTCAGTTCTTGAGCTTTGAGCCATGGTTGGCCACGTGAGATCCAACTTCCTTAATGTCGAGGCTATGGGTCTGGCTTCTTAGATGGGAGTTTCTGTTGTCTAGGGTGGACACTGGACCAGCTACCTGGAACAGACTCCGGCCACTTGTACTGAAAGCCAGCACTTATGAATGCTGTTAAGACAGAGATGTAAAGGAGTCCAGAGGCAGAAGGGGTCCCCGAGGGCATTGTGCTGATCCCCCACATACTTTAGCCATATTTAAAAGCTATAATAATACTAAAATGCAGATATAAAAATGAAGTCTCTGTGGCCATGCAGCAATATATAAGTCCAGGGGTCAAAAATAAATGCCTTCAAGTAAATGTTATTCAATAAACCACAGTATGTCAGTACTGCAAAACAAAATTTTTTTTTGCTAAATATTGGCTTTCATCCAGGCTTTCTTCAAGAAAGAGGGCACAAATGAATAATTACTTATTGGTCCATTCTTTCTCAAAGAAGATATGTTGCTTCTAGGGAAAAACAAAAACAAAAACAAAAACAAAACCTCACAGGTACCACACTTAAACTGCCAAAACCTTGGAAACTTTTACTCTGTATCAGTAACAAAACAAGAAGGTCTGCTCTTGCCCACTTTGTATTCCACATTGTACTGGGTTCTAGCCAAGGCAGTTTGGCATGAAGATGGAAAAAGACCCCCAAGTTGAAAAGAAAGAAAGAAAGCCATCTCTAATTGTAGATGACATTATCTTGTTCGTATGTCGAAAAATCTAAGGAAAACCTCTGAACACTGTCAGAGCTAATAAAAAGGTTTAGCAGTTGTGGGAAATAAGATCAATATGCAAAAATCAATTATATTTCTGTTTAGTCACAAGGAACAAACTGAAAATTAACTTAAGAAAATAATTCTATTTATAATAGCATCAAAAAGAATAAAATGCTTAGAGGCAAGTTTAACAAGCAGGTGTAAAATGTGTACTCGGAAAACTACAAAGTATTGTTGAAAGGAATTTTTAAAGACTTAATTAAATGGAAAGACATCCTATGTTCATGGATCAAAAGGCTTAATACGTTTAAGGTAACAATACTTTCAAAATTGATGTACATATTCAGGGAAATCCTTATCAAAATCCCAGTCTATTTCTTTGCAGATCTTTTCCATATTGATACAATTCACATGGAAGTTCACAAGATTCCAAATTTCCAAAACAATCTTGGGAAAAAAGAAAAAAGAACAAGCTAGGAAGACACATGCATCCCTATTTGGAAGTTTACTGTGACTATACAGAAATCAGAACAATAAAGCAATAGAATAAAGACAGACATAGATCCATAAAATAGAGTTGAGAACCTAAAAATAACCTTCACATTTATTTCTGAAAGAGGCCAAGATTATGGAAGGAATCATTTATTTTATAAAATAATTGTAGGACAACTGACTGTCTACATAAAGTAGAGTTGAACCCCTACCTTGCACCATATACAAATGAATTCAAAGTGGTAAAAAAAACAGAAATGTGATAGTTAAAATTAGAAAATCTTATGAGAAAACATAGGTATAAATCTTTGCGACCTTGAATTAAGCAATGGTTTCTTAGATATGACACCAAAAACACAAGCAATGAAAGAAAACCCAAGATAAATTGAATGTCATTAAAATGAAAAACGTTTATGCTTTTGAGAAAGTGAAGAGACAACCCACAGAATGGGAGAATGGAAAAGATACTTACAAATCATGTACCTGATATGACATTTATTTCTAGAATATATCAAGAAGGCAATATGTAAAATTTTTAAAGAATTATTGATTTAATTTTATTTTTTATTATCATTATTATTTGAATTTGTCATAGAGCACATGCACTTACCAGAGAGAAACATAGAAGAAGAGAGAGAGAGGAGAGAAAGCAAACCACCCGGTGTGGAACTCGAACTGTGGTCAGCCATGTGGGAGTCCAGCATCCCAACCACCACACCACTGGCCTCACAAGGCAATATTTAAAAGACAACTAGCTCAGTTAAAATATGGGGAAAGGATCTAAACAGACATTCTTTTTTTTTTTTGGAGAGGTTTTTTTTTTTTTTTTTTTTTTTGTTTGCTATAGGGCACGTGCGCTTGCCAGACAGACAGAAAGAGACATAGAGACAGAAAGCGAGAAATCACCCCCCAGGGGGGCTGGTCACACCGCAATCCCTTCTCCTCCATTCTCCTCTCGCGATCTTGGGCACGCATGCACGCACACGCGCCCAGCATGAGTTTTAAGCCACCGGGTGCGGGACGCGAACTGTGGTGGACTACGTGGGAGTCCAGTGATATAGCCATTACACTAACTGCTGGTTCCCTGAACAGACATTCTTTAAAGAAGGTATACAACCCGGCCTCTGTGGTGTAGTGGTAGCATACTGTACTGATGATCTAGAAGCCACATACAGACTGTGACTTGAGTTCCTGGCCCAGTCCAGTCACTCTGAAAACATGCATGCACGTATATGTCTTGAATCCTGACAGCCTGGAGGCCTGGGGAAAGGGGATTATAACATAACTGAGCCCAATGAAGGACTCTCTCTCTCTCTTTCTCTTTCTCTCAGAAAGTAACTAAATAAGCTTAAAAACAAAGAACCATTAACTTAAAAGAACACTGAACTACCTCAGTTAAATTTAATAGAAATCTCTAGAATGATCTTTGTCAAGATGCGTTTATGCCACATTAAACTTTACCTTTATAGTTTGTGTAATACTTGTTCACAGAAGATTACTTTTTATTGAAACCACAATGCACATTTGAAAGGAATGCTCTTATACTTAGCTATGCTGTCCTTGAAGACAGTCCTCACAAGGAAGCCAAGAAATCCAAGCGTTATTTGAAAAACGTCAAATATGCTTTGACTTCCGGCACACATTTCCTGTGGGACACGTCTGCACCCCAAAAGGTTTACCGTGAAGCCTCTGTAGGCAACAGGACTAACTTAGCCAGGAGAATAAGAAGAAGAACTACACACAGGGACTTCAAAAGTCTGTGGAAAATGGAATTAAAGTATGAGTTTATCCCCCCCCATTTGACATTCTGCATAATTTCTTTATATGCATGTTTATGAGCTTTTTGAAGAATCTCTCTATCTACCTATCCATCTATACACACGTATTTATGTATGCCATGACAGAGAGGAAGGGATGCGGGAGAGAGATGGTCATCTCCTGCAAGGATCTCACACCACAATCCATGCTCAACCCCAGCTCGCCTGGATTATGGGCACAAGGGAGAACCCCATATATACAGGGAACACAGGGAAGACCTGGCGTGCAAATGGGATCTTCCCGCATGGGTGCAGCATCACAGAGCATTATGCGATTGACGTACCACCAGCTGGCCCTCACGTTATTTACTCATTGTGGTTTGGACCATGGTTTGCCTCCAAAGTTTCATGTTTTGGAGTCGGTGCTGGAAGCTGGTGAGGCCTGGTGGGTAGTGATTGGTCATGGTGACTGCATTATGGAGGTGGCAATCTCACAAGTAGGTTAATGATGTCTCTTGAGACCCAGTGAGTTTAGCTTTCATGAGAAGGTCTCTAGGCTTCTCTTGGTCATGCTGCAGGCCTAGATCATTGGACTTCCCAGCCACCACAATCATGAGTTTGTAAAAAAAAAAACCTTTTTCTTCATTATAAAGTCACTGAGGCACAAGTATTTCTGTTAGTAATGCAAAAATGGACTAAGGGAATATTTCAATGTAATCAACAAAAGTTTATTTTGATATATACTTTAAATGTATTAAATGTGAGAAATATATACACACATAGAGAATATATATGCTTCTTTATATACGCCTATTTTTGCTTCTAATTTTTTATAAATATGTGTAATTGTCTCTGGGTAGGAGCAGAACCAATAATTTTTACTTTCTTCTATATATTCTGTATTTTCTACAACAAGCAATGCATTTCTTTTTTTTTTTACCTTTTCTTAAGAATTATTTTATTTAACTTTATTTATTTAGTTAGTT